CCTTTGAGGGGATGTCTCGGCCCTGGCCGATTGGCCAGGACACGCGCCATTCTCCACGCCTCGGCTGCTCCTCGGGGTCCGGCAAAGGAGTCGCACTTGAGGTCTCATTGCTCTCTGCTGAGGCGCAGAGCGTGCCGTTTAAAGAGCGCGTCGAAGCGCCGGAACACGAGTGTGTCCACGTGCAGGCCGGTCCGATTCGCTCTCTTCTGAGCCTGCCGGCGCTTGGCTCGTAGCTGCAACCAGCGAAGGTCGGGGTTTGGCCGATTCACCGGAACGTGCACCGTTTGCGTGGCCTCTTTTAGGGCTTGGGCGATCGTTTCTGCTGTGAGGGGTTTACCGAGAGCTTCGAGGCGCCACAGGATCGCTCGATAGCGGTCCCAGTGTACCACTTTACAGAACTTGACGGCCGGTTTGGGGGCGGGGCCCATGAGAATCGGGGTGTGATCGCTCCCCCAGCCGTCTAATTGTGTCTGAGGCACTCCTGTGAGTGGGAGGCTCGCCGTGCAGATCGTTAAACCTAGGCGCTACTCTCTACTCCCGCCCTTAGAGACGTCGGGGCTCCCGTCCCACAATGAGCTATGTCGGTGCGGTCTAGGGTGCACTGAAGCTGCCTACCCCTCGCACTCGTCCGTTTGTCCCCCCACAGCTCATTATGCGCATTGAAGTCGCCCCCGAGAAAGATGTGTCCAGTCTCCCGCGCTCTTATAGTCGCGAGTACGCGGGAACGCCAATGTCCGACGGGGTGGACGTAACACGAGAATACAGAGAATTCGTGCTCACCCCTTCTGATGCGGACACCGACGATCTCCGCCCTCGCTGAGCAGTAGTCCCTTGTGTCGATTCCGCAGTGGGGCACAGAGTTTTTCACGTAGAGGACGGCCCAGGGATGTTTCTTGGCTCCACAGCAGGTGTACGACGTGTAGCCCGAGATGTCCAGTTTGGACGCCTCGAGCTTGGGCTCCTGGATCAGGAGCACGTCGTAGGGCCTGCGTAAGAGTTCGTCCCTTACATGAGCGAGCCGTCCGCAAAGACCGTTGATGTTCCACTGCAGAATCGAGGGACAGCTGGGAGACTGGACGCTCGTCCTCTTTCTTGTTTTAGGCTGTGCTGGCATAGTGGCTCAGCGGAGGGAAGGTGTGATGCCTGGTGAGCGTGAGCATGGGGGAGTCAGCCGGGAGGGCAGACTGGAGATGAGAGTATTCGACCAGAGCAGGGCCGATCACCCGAAGCAGGTGATCGATCTGGCGCAGAGTGACAACCAGCAGCTGTTCGAGGGGATGAATGGGGGGGCGTTGCCCGTCGCACCAAGGGGATTCCCCTGCAGCTGCTGGGGGGAGAGGGAAAGGTGGCGGAGGCGCGCCGTTAGAGGAGGGGAGGAGGCCACCGCCAGTCCAGACAGACTCGTGAGGGAGAGAGGGGCCAGTCCATTCCGCTTGCGGGGGGAGGAGGGAGCTGCTGCTGCTGGTGGCGTGCAGCGCTCGCCTCGTCTTCCGGGTGGAAAGGAGGGTGCGGGCGCTGCTGCGCCTCTTGTTCCGCAGGAGGGGGGGGGGGGGGGGGGGGGGGGGGAGGAGGAGGCTGCCTCGGTTTGTTTACATTGGCCTCTCCGTCTGTCTGGGCTGCCGGGGCGCTCTTGTTTTGATGGCGCTCAGCCTGTCTTTGGCGCTTCCGCTGTCGCTTCGAAGTTTTCGCCGGTCCGAAGGTCTCCTTGTAGGCCTGAGGGCTTTGTCGGGTTGACTGCTCCTTGCGTTGGGAGATCCTCTCCTCCGGTTGAGTTTGTCGGTTCTGCTCTGTCTGCCGATCCTGGTCCTCAATCCTGGTCGGCTGTTGGCGCTGTTCAGGGGCTGCAGGGCCGTGGTGCTCCGTGGTGCGTTCCCTGTTGGCTGTGGGCTCAGGTCAGGGGCTGTGTGGGCTGCGCTCCCTGTTGGCTGTGGGGTAGGGCCTTGTGTCGCTGCTCTCGCGGGGCCTCGCTGAAAGGGGGCGGGTGGGGCTGCGAGGGGGTTTGAATCCGCGAGGAACGGGAATTCCCGCCGTGACTCTTCGCTTGGGTGGCGGGTGAGGAGGAACGTCGTGAGGGACGGGTGCTTCCACGCGGCAGAAGAGAGTGGGCGTGGCGTCCGGAGTTCCTCCCGTTGGTCTTGTGCTTGGGGCCGACGTTTTTGGTCCTCTGCGAAGGCCACGGCGTGTTTTCTGGCTTCCGGCCTTGTGCAGCCCGTGCCGCGGAAAATCGTTTCCTCGAGCCTGGCGCGCTGGTAGGCGGGGCATCTTTTGTCGGTGGCTCGGTGGAGGTATCCGCAGTTGGGGCACTTAGGGTTGGCGGCGCGCGGACACTCTCCTCGGGGGTGCTTTTGTGGGCAAGTTGGGCAGGCGGTGGGCATGGTACACGCAGATCGTACGTGCCCAAGTCTCCCACACGCCGTGCATTGCGTGGGACGCACCTTCAGGGGCTCGACGTAGAAGCGCACCTGGAACAGCTCGACGAACCTCGGGCGAGGTCCGTCAAAGCGGAGTTTGGCGCATCTCCTTTCGCCGAACCGCCTCAGGTGCACGATGGGGCTGTCGGCTATCAGCCTGTCCTTCAGAAATGCGTCGCTATCCCTGGGGTTGAGGCCGCAGATAGTCCCGCATTCCTGGGCTGTAGGAACGGGCGTGAAGGCGTGAACCTCCATCTCTCCCAGTTTTTGGGTCCCGAGGAGGGTCTGTCGGGTTGCCGCTTCCTCAGTGTCCACGGCCAGGACGTTTCTTGCAAGGTTGAAGCGAATGGCCATCGTCTTCCCGGGCACGATCTTCTGCACGTAGCTGGCGATGCGCAGCCTGTTTTGTATAGTGAATTTCGCCTGACCAGCAGGACGAAACAGGACAGTGCAGGGGCCATCTTCTGCCAGCTCCGTGCCTCGGTCAGTGACGCCATCTTGTATAGCCGAGGAGGCCTTTTCTTGTGGTGTGGCCTTACCACGTTCGAGAGTGGCCTTGGTCGGTTGTCCGACGGCCTTGTCATTGGAAGGGGAGAGGAGGGCGAAGCTGTTGTGCACGGGCAGGGAGTGGTGCACGTCATCGTTCTCCTCCTCGCTCTCGTTGTCATTATCGGTGGAGGGGAGGGTGTCTTGTACAGGTTGGTTCCCTTCCTCCGTCGGGGGGGTGGGAGAGGGTGTCACGCCTTCCGTCCGCTGGCCGTCAGGCGAGGCAGGGGGGAGGGGGTTGTTTACGTCCGTTCGCGGAGGGCCGCCTGATGTGCTGGCGCCCTGCAACGGGTGAGGGGGGTGAGAGGGGCTCACCTCCTGGTGTCTTGGGGAGGCCGGCAGAGGCCGGCTCGCCATCTTGAGTGTTTGGGGACGCTTGTCCGCCATTGTCGTGTCCCGTGAGATCCGGGTTTGTGTTTGAAGATGGCTCCGCGAGGAGCTCTTTGGTGTCCCTCGCCAGCGTCTGGCTGGCGATTGAATCAAGGATAATGGCCTCAAGAATGGCCTCTTTATCAGAGTTGCGCATGGCCACGCTTCTTGTTACGTATGGGGGCTCCTTTGTGCCCTCCATTTGGGCTTTGTCTTGCCCCTCCCGAAGGAGGGGCGGGGGGGAAGGGTTAGATTAAGAAGAAAAAAGGGGTTTGGGTCCCTCTGCCCTGGGGCTCTGGGATCCCTTTTACCTGTACCCCTCCAGGGGGATGAGGTGTCCTAAGTTCCTAACGATGAATTAAATTAAATTAATGTGCTATTTTGTGGTCTCTCTGCCGCCTCTTTAAGGCAGCAGTTTAACCTTAACTTTACTCTCACTTTAACTAAACTTCTATTAACTTTAAGCTACCAAAAACGCGTGTGCTCACTTTGGTACCTAAATTAAGAGTCCACTCCCTGAACTCGTTGGCGCGTTTTAGCTTTTTTATAAGTTTTCACAGCATTCTGAAAAATGTGCTCCGCCCAAAATAAAGCTTCGCGATTGGTTCCTGCGCGAACCAATGAGCAAGCAGTTGAAAGTACAATTTTTTGGGAGAGGGTTTTGGGAGAGGAGTGTTATGAAGCAGAAACAGTGCAAGGCGAAAACGCGCTCTTGCAGCGCCCCCCAAGCGGAGAGGACTGGCACTTGCTTTGATTTTCTGCTTCTCGATGTGCTGACTCCCTCACTCACTCAGTGTTCGTTGGTTTGTTCGGTTGTCCACTTCTCACCTCCACCTCGAATTTATACACAACCCCCCACAAAATTGTAAAAAAAAAAAAAAAAAGAAAAAAAATCCACCAAAAAGAGATTTAATTGAAGGACCGGGTGAAAATAAAATTTTTACGTCTTGGTTCCAAAAAGACGTTTGCCCGAGCATTTAGACGACTTTGCAAAAAGAAATGCAGTCTTGGTTGCACAACACTCTTTGCCTGGACATTTGAACAACCCGGCGAGAATGGGAAATTTTTTCATCTTGGTTTCAAAAAGACGTTTGCCTGATCATTTGAACGACCCAGCGAGAATAGGAACTTTTTACGTATCCACTTTTGTGTGTGTTTTTTTTGATTATTGAAACACTTTATTTCAAAACGTACAATTGTTCTTGTCAAAGACTTAGCGCTAACTTGTGAAGTACGTCTATACCGGGCCTTTCGTTTATTTTTTTCCTCATGAGTGACGTTAACAAAGAAATAACATTTGAAGAATATAACAGTTTCTCTGTTTCAAAAGGGTCAATGGTTTCTAAAGTTTCGAATTTCCTAATGTCTTTCGTTGCCTTGAAAGGGCTTTTTCTGAACAATAGCTTCCAGAGTATAACGCCTAGAGTCCATACGACGGTACTCTCGGGGTAATATATACCATTTATATACCATTTTGGTGGCGCATAAAGTGGTGTTCCTGCGTATGTTCTCCTAAGACGTTTTGAACACTCTACTGCAAAATCGAAATCTAAAATGGTAATTGCCATTGTTTCTTTATTGATGAGTATATTTGCTTCTTTTAAATCACAGTGAATAATTCCACATTTGACCCAACAGTCGTAATATCATAATATCATAATATCATCATCATTCTTGACTCGATTATAATACGATGTATTGTCATTATCATCGTCCGCATTGTCACAATAAGTATCACTATAGACGCTATCGTCAATTAATGTATCATATATTGACGATTGTGATAAACAATCGTCAATACTGTCATTACTATCAAAACCGTATTTGATTAGATCTTCAATATAAGACTTGTTCATCCTCTCTTTAGTAATCAAGGGTCAAAATTAAACTCAGAGTCTGTATGGATACCTTGAAATAATTCTTCTGCTAATCTTCGCTTGCATACGTTATTAATAGCCACCCTGTTGATAATCGATGTACCAGGTTCTTTTGACGAGCTAGGACATGGTGTACCTGTAATGAAAGGAAAAAATAAATATTAAAAATTATATATAGAAAGGGAAGAACTAAACAAATAACGTACGTAAATAGATCTCGTCAAAATTGATTCGACCTTGCATGCAGGGTGCATCTTCGTTACAGCCGACATCTTCATTGCAAGGTAAATCACACTCGGCAATGGATTCTGTAATGTAGATAAATAGACAAATAAATAAAACAATCATAAAACTATGTTATACAATAAATTATTGACATACGTTTCAGAACATCGTCAAGATTGAGTGGTGGTTGCCAGGACACCTCGTCCACCAAAGAAGGTGCTGGTCGGTCGTCGATATCTCCATTAACTTTATCATAGAGTTCAACGTTGTCACAAGCGCCTGCTTCAGAGTAGCGCTTATGTTTGTCACACATTTCTTCTTCCCCATTAGTCATGAATTGTATATCACACTCTTTATCGTATTGGCAATCTTGAATAACTATGCCATCGTTACCAATAAGCGCTCTTTCGCTTCCATGATATTGGGACTCTTCCTGGCATATCGGTTGTCCGTCATAGCTTTTTACAACTTGTGTTATGCACTCTTCTTCGTTGTCTTTGCGAACTTGGGTAATCGCAGCCTGATATTCCTTGCCATCTTCTACTGCGTTGTCAACACCATGTTCGGTCGGCTTATCGAGCCCTTCTTTTTCCTCTTCGGAACCCCCTACCCCCAGCATTGGTTTTTCTGTAAAATGAAAGCGATATTTGTTCAATTTTGATTATATTACGAAATGAATACAAATAATTACTAACCAAAGAATAAAAAAAATACACTTACCATTCGAAGCGTTGTCGATTCTCGATGTCCATGCCATGTCTTCGTCACATCCTCCCCAGGGATCCGAAGATTCTGTCAATTGGTTAATGCGATCTCGCACATCTTGAAAAACCTGATCCTCTGGATCGTCCGTTGACACTTGTATTGCAGCAGAAGTTTGAGGTGTTTCCTTCTCATTGCTTTTAACAGCAGCAGCAGCAGCAGCAGCGGCGACACAATTGTTGCTTGATGGCATTATTCTCGTGAATATACGGATTGAATTAAGTACTTCACTAAGACATTGTTTAGACCACATATGTAGACGAGTGTCCGTAATGTCTTCAACGTTTGTATTAGTATAAATACTCATAAGAGTACTCATTATATCAATGAAGATTTGTGGGTGCAAGAACCTATTGGCAAAGGCTTCGTCTTGACCAGATTCCCAAAAATTCGTAAGATGAAATATGAAACTTTTTTTATTTCCTCTATTAGAGGTTTTTGGATTTGTAATAGTATGCCTTGCAACGTGAGCGAACCCCACAGCAGTGCGTTTGCCTTCTTGTGCATGTTTCATGTTCTCATTGACAGTGCCAAAGTTTGAATCGACGATAGACTTTATGTTATGCCTCACCATAAATAAGGAAGCTGGAGTATTCAGCTTCATGTTAAAGGGATTTAGTATAGGTCGCATCCTCAAATAGAATTCTGCCAATACTTGTACATTTGTGCATTCGATAATAAAGGTACAATCCATGGGATCACTGTATCGAATTACACTATAAATGACGTAAAAGAAAAAAGAAGCTTCGAGTAAAGAAGTGTCCAGTTGATTACCCTCATTTTTACACGAAAAAAAAATATTAGTCAAAAATTCCTTCAGAAAGTCCCAAGGAACTTGCGCATTCACACTCCGCACACCGCTTGCGTACACGTGTGGTTGTTCCCAAATGGCTGGATATGCACACATACTTTCGACAATGCTGCTCATGGAATCCAAATCGTTTTTCTGACTGATGACGAATTTTGAAAACACGTTCCATAAATCGTCGTCGGTTGTAAACATGGGAAGGGTACAAACCGTCTTGATGCTTTCTACGATTTGATTCACCATAACGTCCTGTTGATCAGATGGAGTTTCGTGTAAGAATTCCTTGATGTTGTTTCGGACCTCCTGCGACGTTAATGCTGGTATCATAAAATATTCGAGCATAGCACTGTTCCCAACAGTGGGTCGGTGAGTCTTGGTGGCTATATATTTGTACGGATAATAATACGGTAATGTATATCCATTGAATAGATTAAAACCAATATTCCATACTGGTTTCATAACTGTAATACTCTCTAATATAATGGGTTGCAAAACATTAGGTTGAATTGAAATATTCTTCCCAGAGCGGTAGTAAAATAATTTGCTTCTATCCATATCTTTTCTTAGTGGCAACAATATCTTCGAGTCTAACTTCTCGATGGTTTTCTTGAGCACTACCATCAAACTTTTAGCAACGGATCTTTCTTGAAGATCTCTAATTAACTTAACATCCATGTATGGTAGATACATGGACGTATCTATTGCTGGTATAAAATCCTGAGTCGAATAAAAGACTGTTAAATGAATTAAATCTTTTATAATGTTGTTAGGCATCACTATTTTAAAAGTTAGCATATCCCAATCCGATGGGAGTTCTTCGAAGATTGGCAATACGCTTCCATACTGCTTAGCACATCTCGTCAAACTTCTTTTCTTGAGAAACAATGAATTAACCTTTTCTTCATTCAAATCAATCGACGAACTTCTATTCCCTCTTCGACGACGTTTACTTTTAGTTTGCAGTTGCATAGACGGTGAATCTGAAAACGACGTATTCGATGGTACGAGTACGGCTATAGGCTCGGAAGAAGAAGAAGTCCGTGCGCCGAACGAACTGTCACTCTTACGCTTACGATCCTTTTTAGGGAAGTTCATCTCGTAGACTGATATTCGTAGTTACATGTACGGCCTATATATAGGCAAATATGCGTAGCGTCTCGTGTTACTATACGAAAAAAAAATAACAGCCACAATATAAACAAATGCTTTTGGAAGGGATAAATATTGTTTTATTAACGTACCCATCCAATCGGAGAGCATGGTACACTCTCATCCAATATCTTCTTTCTTTCATTCTACCAACACCCAGACGCACACAGACACACACATACACAAAAAAAGCACGTAAACTTCGTATAGACAACATATACACACCCCCACACTCTCTTTTTTGGGGGTGGGTCTTTTTTATATACCACTCCACACACTCTATTTTTTCTTTACAATAACAATAACGCAAAGAAAAGTCTATATGTATATTGTATAGAAATGTGAAGGAATACGAAAGAAAATGTAATAATTAAATGTCATACGTTTTTAAGAGCAATACCCTCCACAAGATATTTTTTGTGTGTGTTTTTTTTGATTATTGAAACACTTTATTTCAAAACGTACAATTGTTCTTGTCAAAGACTTAGCGCTAACTTGTGAAGTACGTCTATACCGGGCCTTTCGTTTATTTTTTTCCTCATGAGTGACGTTAACAAAGAAATAACATTTGAAGAATATAACAGTTTCTCTGTTTCAAAAGGGTCAATGGTTTCTAAAGTTTCGAATTTCCTAATGTCTTTCGTTGTCTTGAAAGGGCTTTTTCTGAACAATAGCTTCCAGAGTATAACGCCTAGAGTCCATACGACGGTACTCTCGGGGTAATATATACCATTTATATACCATTCTGGTGGCGCATAAAGTGGTGTTCCTGCGTATGTTCTCCTAAGACGTTTTGAACACTCTACTGCAAAATCGAAATCTAAAATGGTAATTGCCATTGTTTCTTTATTGATGAGTATATTTGCTTCTTTTAAATCACAGTGAATAATTCCACATTTGACCCAACAGTCGTAATATCATAATATCATAATATCATCATCATTCTTGACTCGATTATAATACGATGTATTGTCATTATCATCGTCCGCATTGTCACAATAAGTATCACTATAGACGCTATCGTCAATTAATGTATCATATATTGACGATTGTGATAAACAATCGTCAATACTGTCATTACTATCAAAACCGTATTTGATTAGATCTTCAATATAAGACTTGTTCATCCTCTCTTTAGTAATCAAGGGTCAAAATTAAACTCAGAGTCTGTATGGATACCTTGAAATAATTCTTCTGCTAATCTTCGCTTGCATACGTTATTAATAGCCACCCTGTTGATAATCGATGTACCAGGTTCTTTTGACGAGCTAGGACATGGTGTACCTGTAATGAAAGGAAAAAATAAATATTAAAAATTATATATAGAAAGGGAAGAACTAAACAAATAACGTACGTAAATAGATCTCGTCAAAATTGATTCGACCTTGCATGCAGGGTGCATCTTCGTTACAGCCGACATCTTCATTGCAAGGTAAATCACACTCGGCAATGGATTCTGTAATGTAGATAAATAGACAAATAAATAAAACAATCATAAAACTATGTTATACAATAAATTATTGACATACGTTTCAGAACATCGTCAAGATTGAGTGGTGGTTGCCAGGACACCTCGTCCACCAAAGGGGGTGCTGGTCGGTCGTCGATATCTCCATTAACTTTATCATAGAGTTCAACGTTGTCACAAGCGCCTGCTTCAGAGTAGCGCTTATGTTTGTCACACATTTCTTCTTCCCCATTAGTCATGAATTGTATATCACACTCTTTATCGTATTGGCAATCTTGAATAACTATGCCATCGTTACCAATAAGCGCTCTTTCGCTTCCATGATATTGGGACTCTTCCTGGCATATCGGTTGTCCGTCATAGCTTTTTACAACTTGTGTTATGCACTCTTCTTCGTTGTCTTTGCGAACTTGGGTAATCGCAGCCTGATATTCCTTGCCATCTTCTACTGCGTTGTCAACACCATGTTCGGTCGGCTTATCGAGCCCTTCTTTTTCCTCTTCGGAACCCCCTACCCCCAGCATTGGTTTTTCTGTAAAATGAAAGCGATATTTGTTCAATTTTGATTATATTACGAAATGAATACAAATAATTACTAACCAAAGAATAAAAAAAATACACTTACCATTCGAAGCGTTGTCGATTCTCGATGTCCATGCCATGTCTTCGTCACATCCTCCCCAGGGATCCGAAGATTCTGTCAATTGGTTAATGCGATCTCGCACATCTTGAAAAACCTGATCCTCTGGATCGTCCGTTGACACTTGTATTGCAGCAGAAGTTTGAGGTGTTTCCTTCTCATTGCTTTTAACAGCAGCAGCAGCAGCAGCAGCGGCGACACAATTGTTGCTTGATGGCATTATTCTCGTGAATATACGGATTGAATTAAGTACTTCACTAAGACATTGTTTAGACCACATATGTAGACGAGTGTCCGTAATGTCTTCAACGTTTGTATTAGTATAAATACTCATAAGAGTACTCATTATATCAATGAAGATTTGTGGGTGCAAGAACCTATTGGCAAAGGCTTCGTCTTGACCAGATTCCCAAAAATTCGTAAGATGAAATATGAAACTTTTTTTATTTCCTCTATTAGAGGTTTTTGGATTTGTAATAGTATGCCTTGCAACGTGAGCGAACCCCACAGCAGTGCGTTTGCCTTCTTGTGCATGTTTCATGTTCTCATTGACAGTGCCAAAGTTTGAATCGACGATAGACTTTATGTTATGCCTCACCATAAATAAGGAAGCTGGAGTATTCAGCTTCATGTTAAAGGGATTTAGTATAGGTCGCATCCTCAAATAGAATTCTGCCAATACTTGTACATTTGTGCATTCGATAATAAAGGTACAATCCATGGGATCACTGTATCGAATTACACTATAAATGACGTAAAAGAAAAAAGAAGCTTCGAGTAAAGAAGTGTCCAGTTGATTACCCTCATTTTTACACGAAAAAAAAATATTAGTCAAAAATTCCTTCAGAAAGTCCCAAGGAACTTGCGCATTCACACTCCGCACACCGCTTGCGTACACGTGTGGTTGTTCCCAAATGGCTGGATATGCACACATACTTTCGACAATGCTGCTCATGGAATCCAAATCGTTTTTCTGACTGATGACGAATTTTGAAAACACGTTCCATAAATCGTCGTCGGTTGTAAACATGGGAAGGGTACAAACCGTCTTGATGCTTTCTACGATTTGATTCACCATAACGTCCTGTTGATCAGATGGAGTTTCTTGATGTTGTTTCGGACCTCCTGCGACGTTAATGCTGGTATCATAAAATATTCGAGCATAGCACTGTTCCCAACAGTGGGTCGGTGAGTCTTGGTGGCTATATATTTGTACGGATAATAATACGGTAATGTATATCCATTGAATAGATTAAAACCAATATTCCATACTGGTTTCATAACTGTAATACTCTCTAATATAATGGGTTGCAAAACATTAGGTTGAATTGAAATATTCTTCCCAGAGCGGTAGTAAAATAATTTGCTTCTATCCATATCTTTTCTTAGTGGCAACAATATCTTCGAGTCTAACTTCTCGATGGTTTTCTTGAGCACTACCATCAAACTTTTAGCAACGGATCTTTCTTGAAGATCTCTAATTAACTTAACATCCATGTATGGTAGATACATGGACGTATCTATTGCTGGTATAAAATCCTGAGTCGAATAAAAGACTGTTAAATGAATTAAATCTTTTATAATGTTGTTAGGCATCACTATTTTAAAAGTTAGCATATCCCAATCCGATGGGAGTTCTTCGAAGATTGGCAATACGCTTCCATACTGCTTAGCACATCTCGTCAAACTTCTTTTCTTGAGAAACAATGAATTAACCTTTTCTTCATTCAAATCAATCGACGAACTTCTATTCCCTCTTCGACGACGTTTACTTTTAGTTTGCAGTTGCATAGACGGTGAATCTGAAAACGACGTATTCGATGGTACGAGTACGGCTATAGGCTCGGAAGAAGAAGTCCGTGCGCCGAACGAACTGTCACTCTTACGCTTACGATCCTTTTTAGGGAAGTTCATCTCGTAGACTGATATTCGTAGTTACATGTACGGCCTATATATAGGCAAATATGCGTAGCGTCTCGTGTTACTATACGAAAAAAAAATAACAGCCACAATATAAACAAATGCTTTTGGAAGGGATAAATATTGTTTTATTAACGTACCCATCCAATCGGAGAGCATGGTACACTCTCATCCAATATCTTCTTTCTTTCATTCTACCAACACCCAGACGCACACAGACACACACATACACAAAAAAAGCACGTAAACTTCGTATAGACAACATATACACACCCCCACACTCTCTTTTTTGGGGGTGGGTCTTTTTTATATACCACTCCACACACTCTATTTTTTCTTTACAATAACAATAACGCAAAGAAAAGTCTATATGTATATTGTATAGAAATGTGAAGGAATACGAAAGAAAATGTAATAATTAAATGTCATACGTTTTTAAGAGCAATACCCTCCACAAGATATTTTTTGTGTGTGTTTTTTTTGATTATTGAAACACTTTATTTCAAAACGTACAATTGTTCTTGTCAAAGACTTAGCGCTAACTTGTGAAGTACGTCTATACCGGGCCTTTCGTTTATTTTTTTCCTCATGAGTGACGTTAACAAAGAAATAACATTTGAAGAATATAACAGTTTCTCTGTTTCAAAAGGGTCAATGGTTTCTAAAGTTTCGAATTTCCTAATGTCTTTCGTTGTCTTGAAAGGGCTTTTTCTGAACAATAGCTTCCAGAGTATAACGCCTAGAGTCCATACGACGGTACTCTCGGGGTAATATATACCATTTATATACCATTCTGGTGGCGCATAAAGTGGTGTTCCTGCGTATGTTCTCCTAAGACGTTTTGAACACTCTACTGCAAAATCGAAATCTAAAATGGTAATTGCCATTGTTTCTTTATTGATGAGTATATTTGCTTCTTTTAAATCACAGTGAATAATTCCACATTTGACCCAACAGTCGTAATATCATAATATCATAATATCATCATCATTCTTGACTCGATTATAATACAATGTATTGTCATTATCATCGTCCGCATTGTCACAATAAGTATCACTATAGACGCTATCGTCAATTAATGTATCATATATTGACGATTGTGATAAACAATCGTCAATACTGTCATTACTATCAAAACCGTATTTGATTAGATCTTCAATATAAGACTTGTTCATCCTCTCTTTAGTAATCAAGGGTCAAAATTAAACTCAGAGTCTGTATGGATACCTTGAAATAATTCTTCTGCTAATCTTCGCTTGCATACGTTATTAATAGCCACCCTGTTGATAATCGATGTACCAGGTTCTTTTGACGAGCTAGGACATGGTGTACCTGTAATGAAAGGAAAAAATAAATATTAAAAATTATATATAGAAAGGGAAGAACTAAACAAATAACGTACGTAAATAGATCTCGTCAAAATTGATTCGACCTTGCATGCAGGGTGCATCTTCGTTACAGCCGACATCTTCATTGCAAGGTAAATCACACTCGGCAATGGATTCTGTAATGTAGATAAATAGACAAATAAATAAAACAATCATAAAACTATGTTATACAATAAATTATTGACATACGTTTCAGAACATCGTCAAGATTGAGTGGTGGTTGCCAGGACACCTCGTCCACCAAAGGGGGTGCTGGTCGGTCGTCGATATCTCCATTAACTTTATCATAGAGTTCAACGTTGTCACAAGCGCCTGCTTCAGAGTAGCGCTTATGTTTGTCACACATTTCTTCTTCCCCATTAGTCATGAATTGTATATCACACTCTTTATCGTATTGGCAATCTTGAATAACTATGCCATCGTTACCAATAAGCGCTCTTTCGCTTCCATGATATTGGGACTCTTCCTGGCATATCGGTTGTCCGTCATAGCTTTTTACAACTTGTGTTATGCACTCTTCTTCGTTGTCTTTGCGAACTTGGGTAATCGCAGCCTGATATTCCTTGCCATCTTCTACTGCGTTGTCAACACCATGTTCGGTCGGCTTATCGAGCCCTTCTTTTTCCTCTTCGGAACCCCCTACCCCCAGCATTGGTTTTTCTGTAAAATGAAAGCGATATTTGTTCAATTTTGATTATATTACGAAATGAATACAAATAATTACTAACCAAAGAATAAAAAAAATACACTTACCATTCGAAGCGTTGTCGATTCTCGATGTCCATGCCATGTCTTCGTCACATCCTCCCCAGGGATCCGAAGATTCTGTCAATTGGTTAATGCGATCTCGCACATCTTGAAAAACCTGATCCTCTGGATCGTCCGTTGACACTTGTATTGCAGCAGAAGTTTGAGGTGTTTCCTTCTCATTGCTTTTAACAGCAGCAGCAGCAGCAGCAGCGGCGACACAATTGTTGCTTGATGGCATTATTCTCGTGAATATACGGATTGAATTAAGTACTTCACTAAGACATTGTTTAGACCACATATGTAGACGAGTGTCCGTAATGTCTTCAACGTTTGTATTAGTATAAATACTCATAAGAGTACTCATTATATCAATGAAGATTTGTGGGTGCAAGAACCTATTGGCAAAGGCTTCGTCTTGACCAGATTCCCAAAAATTCGTAAGATGAAATATGAAACTTTTTTTATTTCCTCTATTAGAGGTTTTTGGATTTGTAATAGTATGCCTTGCAACGTGAGCGAACCCCACAGCAGTGCGTTTGCCTTCTTGTGCATGTTTCATGTTCTCATTGACAGTGCCAAAGTTTGAATCGACGATAGACTTTATGTTATGCCTCACCATAAATAAGGAAGCTGGAGTATTCAGCTTCATGTTAAAGGGATTTAGTATAGGTCGCATCCTCAAATAGAATTCTGCCAATACTTGTACATTTGTGCATTCGATAATAAAGGTACAATCCATGGGATCACTGTATCGAATTACACTATAAATGACGTAAAAGAAAAAAGAAGCTTCGAGTAAAGAAGTGTCCAGTTGATTACCCTCATTTTTACACGAAAAAAAAATATTAGTCAAAAATTCCTTCAGAAAGTCCCAAGGAACTTGCGCATTCACACTCCGCACACCGCTTGCGTACACGTGTGGTTGTTCCCAAATGGCTGGATATGCACACATACTTTCGACAATGCTGCTCATGGAATCCAAATCGTTTTTCTGACTGATGACGAATTTTGAAAACACGTTCCATAAATCGTCGTCGGTTGTAAACATGGGAAGGGTACAAACCGTCTTGATGCTTTCTACGATTTGATTCACCATAACGTCCTGTTGATCAGATGGAGTTTCTTGATGTTGTTTCGGACCTCCTGCGACGTTAATGCTGGTATCATAAAATATTCGAGCATAGCACTGTTCCCAACAGTGGGTCGGTGAGTCTTGGTGGCTATATATTTGTACGGATAATAATACGGTAATGTATATCCATTGAATAGATTAAAACCAATATTCCATACTGGTTTCATAACTGTAATACTCTCTAATATAATGGGTTGCAAAACATTAGGTTGAATTGAAATATTCTTCCCAGAGCGGTAGTAAAATAATTTGCTTCTATCCATATCTTTTCTTAGTGGCAACAATATCTTCGAGTCTAACTTCTCGATGGTTTTCTTGAGCACTACCATCAAACTTTTAGCAACGGATCTTTCTTGAAGATCTCTAATTAACTTAACATCCATGTATGGTAGATACATGGACGTATCTATTGCTGGTATAAAATCCTGAGTCGAATAAAAGACTGTTAAATGAATTAAATCTTTTATAATGTTGTTAGGCATCACTATTTTAAAAGTTAGCATATCCCAATCCGATGGGAGTTCTTCGAAGATTGGCAATACGCTTCCATACTGCTTAGCACATCTCGTCAAACTTCTTTTCTTGAGAAACAATGAATTAACCTTTTCTTCATTCAAATCAATCGACGAACTTCTATTCCCTCTTCGACGACGTTTACTTTTAGTTTGCAGTTGCATAGACGGTGAATCTGAAAACGACGTATTCGATGGTACGAGTACGGCTATAGGCTCGGAAGAAGAAGAAGTCCGTGCGCCGAACGAACTGTCACTCTTACGCTTACGATCCTTTTTAGGGAAGTTCATCTCGTAGACTGATATTCGTAGTTACATGTACGGCCTATATATAGGCAAATATGCGTAGCGTCTCGTGTTACTATACGAAAAAAAAATAACAGCCACAATATAAACAAATGCTTTTGGAAGGGATAAATATTGTTTTATTAACGTACCCATCCAATCAGAGAGCATGGTACACTCTCATCCAATATCTTCTTTCTTTCATTCTACCAACACCCAGACGCACACAGACACACACATACACAAAAAAAGCACGTAAACTTCGTATAGACAACATATACACACCCCCACACTCTCTTTTTTGGGGGTGGGTCTTTTTTATATACCACTCCACACACTCTATTTTTTCTTTACAATAACAATAACGCAAAGAAAAGTCTATATGTATATTGTATAGAAATGTGAAGGAATACGAAAGAAAATGTAATAATTAAATGTCATACGTTTTTAAGAGCAATACCCTCCACAAGATATTTTTTGTGTGTGTTTTTTTTGATTATTGAAACACTTTATTTCAAAACGTACAATTGTTCTTGTCAAAGACTTAGCGCTAACTTGTGAAGTACGTCTATACCGGGCCTTTCGTTTATTTTTTTCCTCATGAGTGACGTTAACAAAGAAATAACATTTGAAGAATATAACAGTTTCTCTGTTTCAAAAGGGTCAATGGTTTCTAAAGTTTCGAATTTCCTAATGTCTTTCGTTGTCTTGAAAGGGCTTTTTCTGAACAATAGCTTCCAGAGTATAACGCCTAGAGTCCATACGACGGTACTCTCGGGGTAATATATACCATTTATATACCATTCTGGTGGCGCATAAAGTGGTGTTCCTGCGTATGTTCTCCTAAGACGTTTTGAACACTCTACTGCAAAATCGAAATCTAAAATGGTAATTGCCATTGTTTCTTTATTGATGAGTATATTTGCTTCTTTTAAATCACAGTGAATAATTCCACATTTGACCCAACAGTCGTAATATCATAATATCATAATATCATCATCATTCTTGACTCGATTATAATACGATGTATTGTCATTATCATCGTCCGCATTGTCACAATAAGTATCACTATAGACGCTATCGTCAATTAATGTATCATATATTGACGATTGTGATAAACAATCGTCAATACTGTCATTACTATCAAAACCGTATTTGATTAGATCTTCAATATAAGACTTGTTCATCCTCTCTTTAGTAATCAAGGGTCAAAATTAAACTCAGAGTCTGTATGGATACCTTGAAATAATTCTTCTGCTAATCTTCGCTTGCATACGTTATTAATAGCCACCCTGTTGATAATCGATGTACCAGGTTCTTTTGACGAGCTAGGACATGGTGTACCTGTAATGAAAGGAAAAAATAAATATTAAAAATTATATATAGAAAGGGAAGAACTAAACAAATAACGTACGTAAATAGATCTCGTCAAAATTGATTCGACCTTGCATGCAGGGTGCATCTTCGTTACAGCCGACATCTTCATTGCAAGGTAAATCACACTCGGCAATGGATTCTGTAATGTAGATAAATAGACAAATAAATAAAACAATCATAAAACTATGTTATACAATAAATTATTGACATACGTTTCAGAACATCGTCAAGATTGAGTGGTGGTTGCCAGGACACCTCGTCCACCAAAGGGGGTGCTGGTCGGTCGTCGATATCTCCATTAACTTTATCATAGAGTTCAACGTTGTCACAAGCGCCTGCTTCAGAGTAGCGCTTATGTTTGTCACACATTTCTTCTTCCCCATTAGTCATGAATTGTATATCACACTCTTTATCGTATTGGCAATCTTGAATAACTATGCCATCGTTACCAATAAGCGCTCTTTCGCTTCCATGATATTGGGACTCTTCCTGGCATATCGGTTGTCCGTCATAGCTTTTTACAACTTGTGTTATGCACTCTTCTTCGTTGTCTTTGCGAACTTGGGTAATCGCAGCCTGATATTCCTTGCCATCTTCTACTGCGTTGTCAACACCATGTTCGGTCGGCTTATCGAGCCCTTCTTTTTCCTCTTCGGAACCCCCTACCCCCAGCATTGGTTTTTCTGTAAAATGAAAGCGATATTTGTTCAATTTTGATTATATTACGAAATGAATACAAATAATTACTAACCAAAGAATAAAAAAAATACACTTACCATTCGAAGCGTTGTCGATTCTCGATGTCCATGCCATGTCTTCGTCACATCCTCCCCAGGGATCCGAAGATTCTGTCAATTGGTTAATGCGATCTCGCACATCTTGAAAAACCTGATCCTCTGGATCGTCCGTTGACACTTGTATTGCAGCAGAAGTTTGAGGTGTTTCCTTCTCATTGCTTTTAACAGCAGCAGCAGCAGCAGCAGCAGCGGCGACACAATTGTTGCTTGATGGCATTATTCTCGTGAATATACGGATTGAATTAAGTACTTCACTAAGACATTGTTTAGACCACATATGTAGACGAGTGTCCGTAATGTCTTCAACGTTTGTATTAGTATAAATACTCATAAGAGTACTCATTATATCAATGAAGATTTGTGGGTGCAAGAACCTATTGGCAAAGGCTTCGTCTTGACCAGATTCCCAAAAATTCGTAAGATGAAATATGAAACTTTTTTTATTTCCTCTATTAGAGGTTTTTGGATTTGTAATAGTATGCCTTGCAACGTGAGCGAACCCCACAGCAGTGCGTTTGCCTTCTTGTGCATGTTTCATGTTCTCATTGACAGTGCCAAAGTTTGCATCGACGATAGACTTTATGTTATGCCTCACCATAAATAAGGAAGCTGGAGTATTCAGCTTCATGTTAAAGGGATTTAGTATAGGTCGCATCCTCAAATAGAATTCTGCCAATACTTGTACATTTGTGCATTCGATAATAAAGGTACAATCCATGGGATCACTGTATCGAATTACACTATAAATGACGTAAAAGAAAAAAGAAGCTTCGAGTAAAGAAGTGTCCAGTTGATTACCCTCATTTTTACACGAAAAAAAAATATTAGTCAAAAATTCCTTCAGAAAGTCCCAAGGAACTTGCGCATTCACACTCCGCACACCGCTTGCGTACACGTGTGGTTGTTCCCAAATGGCTGGATATGCACACATACTTTCGACAATGCTGCTCATGGAATCCAAATCGTTTTTCTGACTGATGACGAATTTTGAAAACACGTTCCATAAATCGTCGTCGGTTGTAAACATGGGAAGGGTACAAACCGTCTTGATGCTTTCTACGATTTGATTCACCATAACGTCCTGTTGATCAGATGGAGTTTCGTGTAAGAATTCCTTGATGTTGTTTCGGACCTCCTGCGACGTTAATGCTGGTATCATAAAATATTCGAGCATAGCACTGTTCCCAACAGTGGGTCGGTGAGTCTTGGTGGCTATATATTTGTACGGATAATAATACGGTAATGTATATCCATTGAATAGATTAAAACCAATATTCCATACTGGTTTCATAACTGTAATACTCTCTAATATAATGGGTTGCAAAACATTAGGTTGAATTGAAATATTCTTCCCAGAGCGGTAGTAAAATAATTTGCTTCTATCCATATCTTTTCTTAGTGGCAACAATATCTTCGAGTCTAACTTCTCGATGGTTTTCTTGAGCACTACCATCAAACTTTTAGCAACGGATCTTTCTTGAAGATCTCTAATTAACTTAACATCCATGTATGGTAGATACATGGACGTATCTATTGCTGGTATAAAATCCTGAGTCGAATAAAAGACTGTTAAATGAATTAAATCTTTTATAATGTTGTTAGGCATCACTATTTTAAAAGTTAGCATATCCCAATCCGATGGGAGTTCTTCGAAGATTGGCAATACGCTTCCATACTGCTTAGCACATCTCGTCAAACTTCTTTTCTTGAGAAACAATGAATTAACCTTTTCTTCATTCAAATCAATCGACGAACTTCTATTCCCTCTTCGACGACGTTTACTTTTAGTTTGCAGTTGCATAGACGGTGAATCTGAAAACGACGTATTCGATGGTACGAGTACGGCTATAGGCTCGGAAGAAGAAGAAGTCCGTGCGCCGAACGAACTGTCACTCTTACGCTTACGATCCTTTTTAGGGAAGTTCATCTCGTAGACTGATATTCGTAGTTACATGTACGGCCTATATATAGGCAAATATGCGTAGCGTCTCGTGTTACTATACGAAAAAAAAATAACAGCCACAATATAAACAAATGCTTTTGGAAGGGATAAATATTGTTTTATTAACGTACCCATCCAATCAGAGAGCATGGTACACTCTCATCCAATATCTTCTTTCTTTCATTCTACCAACACCCAGACGCACACAGACACACACATACACAAAAAAAGCACGTAAACTTCGTATAGACAACATATACACACCCCCACACTCTCTTTTTTGGGGGTGGGTCTTTTTTATATACCACTCCACACACTCTATTTTTTCTTTACAATAACAATAACGCAAAGAAAAGTCTATATGTATATTGTATAGAAATGTGAAGGAATACGAAAGAAAATGTAATAATTAAATGTCATACGTTTTTAAGAGCAATACCCTCCACAAGATATTTTTTGTGTGTGTTTTTTTTGATTATTGAAACACTTTATTTCAAAACGTACAATTGTTCTTGTCAAAGACTTAGCGCTAACTTGTGAAGTACGTCTATACCGGGCCTTTCGTTTATTTTTTTCCTCATGAGTGACGTTAACAAAGAAATAACATTTGAAGAATATAACAGTTTCTCTGTTTCAAAAGGGTCAATGGTTTCTAAAGTTTCGAATTTCCTAATGTCTTTCGTTGTCTTGAAAGGGCTTTTTCTGAACAATAGCTTCCAGAGTATAACGCCTAGAGTCCATACGACGGTACTCTCGGGGTAATATATACCATTTATATACCATTCTGGTGGCGCATAAAGTGGTGTTCCTGCGTATGTTCTCCTAAGACGTTTTGAACACTCTACTGCAAAATCGAAATCTAAAATGGTAATTGCCATTGTTTCTTTATTGATGAGTATATTTGCTTCTTTTAAATCACAGTGAATAATTCCACATTTGACCCAACAGTCGTAATATCATAATATCATAATATCATCATCATTCTTGACTCGATTATAATACAATGTATTGTCATTATCATCGTCCGCATTGTCACAATAAGTATCACTATAGACGCTATCGTCAATTAATGTATCATATATTGACGATTGTGATAAACAATCGTCAATACTGTCATTACTATCAAAACCGTATTTGATTAGATCTTCAATATAAGACTTGTTCATCCTCTCTTTAGTAATCAAGGGTCAAAATTAAACTCAGAGTCTGTATGGATACCTTGAAATAATTCTTCTGCTAATCTTCGCTTGCATACGTTATTAATAGCCACCCTGTTGATAATCGATGTACCAGGTTCTTTTGACGAGCTAGGACATGGTGTACCTGTAATGAAAGGAAAAAATAAATATTAAAAATTATATATAGAAAGGGAAGAACTAAACAAATAACGTACGTAAATAGATCTCGTCAAAATTGATTCGACCTTGCATGCAGGGTGCATCTTCGTTACAGCCGACATCTTCATTGCAAGGTAAATCACACTCGGCAATGGATTCTGTAATGTAGATAAATAGACAAATAAATAAAACAATCATAAAACTATGTTATACAATAAATTATTGACATACGTTTCAGAACATCGTCAAGATTGAGTGGTGGTTGCCAGGACACCTCGTCCACCAAAGAAGGTGCTGGTCGGTCGTCGATATCTCCATTAACTTTATCATAGAGTTCAACGTTGTCACAAGCGCCTGCTTCAGAGTAGCGCTTATGTTTGTCACACATTTCTTCTTCCCCATTAGTCATGAATTGTATATCACACTCTTTATCGTATTGGCAATCTTGAATAACTATGCCATCGTTACCAATAAGTGCTCTTTCGCTTCCATGATATTGGGACTCTTCCTGGCATATCGGTTGTCCGTCATAGCTTTTTACAACTTGTGTTATGCACTCTTCTTCGTTGTCTTTGCGAACTTGGGTAATCGCAGCCTGATATTCCTTGCCATCTTCTACTGCGTTGTCAACACCATGTTCGGTCGGCTTATCGAGCCCTTCTTTTTCCTCTTCGGAACCCCCTACCCCCAGCATTGGTTTTTCTGTAAAATGAAAGCGATATTTGTTCAATTTTGATTATATTACGAAATGAATACAAATAATTACTAACCAAAGAATAAAAAAAATACACTTACCATTCGAAGCGTTGTCGATTCTCGATGTCCATGCCATGTCTTCGTCACATCCTCCCCAGGGATCCGAAGATTCTGTCAATTGGTTAATGCGATCTCGCACATCTTGAAAAACCTGATCCTCTGGATCGTCCGTTGACACTTGTATTGCAGCAGAAGTTTGAGGTGTTTCCTTCTCATTGCTTTTAACAGCAGCAGCAGCAGCAGCAGCGGCGACACAATTGTTGCTTGATGGCATTATTCTCGTGAATATACGGATTGAATTAAGTACTTCACTAAGACATTGTTTAGACCACATATGTAGACGAGTGTCCGTAATGTCTTCAACGTTTGTATTAGTATAAATACTCATAAGAGTACTCATTATATCAATGAAGATTTGTGGGTGCAAGAACCTATTGGCAAAGGCTTCGTCTTGACCAGATTCCCAAAAATTCGTAAGATGAAATATGAAACTTTTTTTATTTCCTCTATTAGAGGTTTTTGGATTTGTAATAGTATGCCTTGCAACGTGAGCGAACCCCACAGCAGTGCGTTTGCCTTCTTGTGCATGTTTCATGTTCTCATTGACAGTGCCAAAGTTTGAATCGACGATAGACTTTATGTTATGCCTCACCATAAATAAGGAAGCTGGAGTATTCAGCTTCATGTTAAAGGGATTTAGTATAGGTCGCATCCTCAAATAGAATTCTGCCAATACTTGTACATTTGTGCATTCGATAATAAAGGTACAATCCATGGGATCACTGTATCGAATTACACTATAAATGACGTAAAAGAAAAAAGAAGCTTCGAGTAAAGAAGTGTCCAGTTGATTACCCTCATTTTTACACGAAAAAAAAAATATTAGTCAAAAATTCCTTCAGAAAGTCCCAAGGAACTTGCGCATTCACACTCCGCACACCGCTTGCGTACACGTGTGGTTGTTCCCAAATGGCTGGATATGCACACATACTTTCGACAATGCTGCTCATGGAATCCAAATCGTTTTTCTGACTGATGACGAATTTTGAAAACACGTTCCATAAATCGTCGTCGGTTGTAAACATGGGAAGGGTACAAACCGTCTTGATGCTTTCTACGATTTGATTCACCATAACGTCCTGTTGATCAGATGGAGTTTCTTGATGTTGTTTCGGACCTCCTGCGACGTTAATGCTGGTATCATAAAATATTCGAGCATAGCACTGTTCCCAACAGTGGGTCGGTGAGTCTTGGTGGCTATATATTTGTACGGATAATAATACGGTAATGTATATCCATTGAATAGATTAAAACCAATATTCCATACTGGTTTCATAACTGTAATACTCTCTAATATAATGGGTTGCAAAACATTAGGTTGAATTGAAATATTCTTCCCAGAGCGGTAGTAAAATAATTTGCTTCTATCCATATCTTTTCTTAGTGGCAACAATATCTTCGAGTCTAACTTCTCGATGGTTTTCTTGAGCACTACCATCAAACTTTTAGCAACGGATCTTTCTTGAAGATCTCTAATTAACTTAACATCCATGTATGGTAGATACATGGACGTATCTATTGCTGGTATAAAATCCTGAGTCGAATAAAAGACTGTTAAATGAATTAAATCTTTTATAATGTTGTTAGGCATCACTATTTTAAAAGTTAGCATATCCCAATCCGATGGGAGTTCTTCGAAGATTGGCAATACGCTTCCATACTGCTTAGCACATCTCGTCAAACTTCTTTTCTTGAGAAACAATGAATTAACCTTTTCTTCATTCAAATCAATCGACGAACTTCTATTCCCTCTTCGACGACGTTTACTTTTAGTTTGCAGTTGCATAGACGGTGAATCTGAAAACGACGTATTCGATGGTACGAGTACGGCTATAGGCTCGGAAGAAGAAGAAGTCCGTGCGCCGAACGAACTGTCACTCTTACGCTTACGATCCTTTTTAGGGAAGTTCATCTCGTAGACTGATATTCGTAGTTACATGTACGGCCTATATATAGGCAAATATGCGTAGCGTCTCGTGTTACTATACGAAAAAAAAATAACAGCCACAATATAAACAAATGCTTTTGGAAGGGATAAATATTGTTTTATTAACGTACCCATCCAATCAGAGAGCATGGTACACTCTCATCCAATATCTTCTTTCTTTCATTCTACCAACACCCAGACGCACACAGACACACACATACACAAAAAAAGCACGTAAACTTCGTATAGACAACATATACACACCCCCACACTCTCTTTTTTGGGGGTGGGTCTTTTTTATATACCACTCCACACACTCTATTTTTTCTTTACAATAACAATAACGCAAAGAAAAGTCTATATGTATATTGTATAGAAATGTGAAGGAATACGAAAGAAAATGTAATAATTAAATGTCATACGTTTTTAAGAGCAATACCCTCCACAAGATATTTTTTGTGTGTGTTTTTTTTGATTATTGAAACACTTTATTTCAAAACGTACAATTGTTCTTGTCAAAGACTTAGCGCTAACTTGTGAAGTACGTCTATACCGGGCCTTTCGTTTATTTTTTTCCTCATGAGTGACGTTAACAAAGAAATAACATTTGAAGAATATAACAGTTTCTCTGTTTCAAAAGGGTCAATGGTTTCTAAAGTTTCGAATTTCCTAATGTCTTTCGTTGTCTTGAAAGGGCTTTTTCTGAACAATAGCTTCCAGAGTATAACGCCTAGAGTCCATACGACGGTACTCTCGGGGTAATATATACCATTTATATACCATTCTGGTGGCGCATAAAGTGGTGTTCCTGCGTATGTTCTCCTAAGACGTTTTGAACACTCTACTGCAAAATCGAAATCTAAAATGGTAATTGCCATTGTTTCTTTATTGATGAGTATATTTGCTTCTTTTAAATCACAGTGAATAATTCCACATTTGACCCAACAGTCGTAATATCATAATATCATAATATCATCATCATTCTTGACTCGATTATAATACGATGTATTGTCATTATCATCGTCCGCATTGTCACAATAAGTATCACTATAGACGCTATCGTCAATTAATGTATCATATATTGACGATTGTGATAAACAATCGTCAATACTGTCATTACTATCAAAACCGTATTTGATTAGATCTTCAATATAAGACTTGTTCATCCTCTCTTTAGTAATCAAGGGTCAAAATTAAACTCAGAGTCTGTATGGATACCTTGAAATAATTCTTCTGCTAATCTTCGCTTGCATACGTTATTAATAGCCACCCTGTTGATAATCGATGTACCAGGTTCTTTTGACGAGCTAGGACATGGTGTACCTGTAATGAAAGGAAAAAATAAATATTAAAAATTATATATAGAAAGGGAAGAACTAAACAAATAACGTACGTAAATAGATCTCGTCAAAATTGATTCGACCTTGCATGCAGGGTGCATCTTCGTTACAGCCGACATCTTCATTGCAAGGTAAATCACACTCGGCAATGGATTCTGTAATGTAGATAAATAGACAAATAAATAAAACAATCATAAAACTATGTTATACAATAAATTATTGACATACGTTTCAGAACATCGTCAAGATTGAGTGGTGGTTGCCAGGACACCTCGTCCACCAAAGGGGGTGCTGGTCGGTCGTCGATATCTCCATTAACTTTATCATAGAGTTCAACGTTGTCACAAGCGCCTGCTTCAGAGTAGCGCTTATGTTTGTCACACATTTCTTCTTCCCCATTAGTCATGAATTGTATATCACACTCTTTATCGTATTGGCAATCTTGAATAACTATGCCATCGTTACCAATAAGCGCTCTTTCGCTTCCATGATATTGGGACTCTTCCTGGCATATCGGTTGTCCGTCATAGCTTTTTACAACTTGTGTTATGCACTCTTCTTCGTTGTCTTTGCGAACTTGGGTAATCGCAGCCTGATATTCCTTGCCATCTTCTACTGCGTTGTCAACACCATGTTCGGTCGGCTTATCGAGCCCTTCTTTTTCCTCTTCGGAACCCCCTACCCCCAGCATTGGTTTTTCTGTAAAATGAAAGCGATATTTGTTCAATTTTGATTATATTACGAAATGAATACAAATAATTACTAACCAAAGAATAAAAAAAATACACTTACCATTCGAAGCGTTGTCGATTCTCGATGTCCATGCCATGTCTTCGTCACATCCTCCCCAGGGATCCGAAGATTCTGTCAATTGGTTAATGCGATCTCGCACATCTTGAAAAACCTGATCCTCTGGATCGTCCGTTGACACTTGTATTGCAGCAGAAGTTTGAGGTGTTTCCTTCTCATTGCTTTTAACAGCAGCAGCAGCAGCAGCAGCGGCGACACAATTGTTGCTTGATGGCATTATTCTCGTGAATATACGGATTGAATTAAGTACTTCACTAAGACATTGTTTAGACCACATATGTAGACGAGTGTCCGTAATGTCTTCAACGTTTGTATTAGTATAAATACTCATAAGAGTACTCATTATATCAATGAAGATTTGTGGGTGCAAGAACCTATTGGCAAAGGCTTCGTCTTGACCAGATTCCCAAAAATTCGTAAGATGAAATATGAAACTTTTTTTATTTCCTCTATTAGAGGTTTTTGGATTTGTAATAGTATGCCTTGCAACGTGAGCGAACCCCACAGCAGTGCGTTTGCCTTCTTGTGCATGTTTCATGTTCTCATTGACAGTGCCAAAGTTTGAATCGACGATAGACTTTATGTTATGCCTCACCATAAATAAGGAAGCTGGAGTATTCAGCTTCATGTTAAAGGGATTTAGTATAGGTCGCATCCTCGAATAGAATTCTGCCAATACTTGTACATTTGTGCATTCGATAATAAAGGTACAATCCATGGGATCACTGTATCGAATTACACTATAAATGACGTAAAAGAAAAAAGAAGCTTCGAGTAAAGAAGTGTCCAGTTGATTACCCTCATTTTTACACGAAAAAAAAATATTAGTCAAAAATTCCTTCAGAAAGTCCCAAGGAACTTGCGCATTCACACTCCGCACACCGCTTGCGTACACGTGTGGTTGTTCCCAAATGGCTGGATATGCACACATACTTTCGACAATGCTGCTCATGGAATCCAAATCGTTTTTCTGACTGATGACGAATTTTGAAAACACGTTCCATAAATCGTCGTCGGTTGTAAACATGGGAAGGGTACAAACCGTCTTGATGCTTTCTACGATTTGATTCACCATAACGTCCTGTTGATCAGATGGAGTTTCGTGTAAGAATTCCTTGATGTTGTTTCGGACCTCCTGCGACGTTAATGCTGGTATCATAAAATATTCGAGCATAGCACTGTTCCCAACAGTGGGTCGGTGAGTCTTGGTGGCTATATATTTGTACGGATAATAATACGGTAATGTATATCCATTGAATAGATTAAAACCAATATTCCATACTGGTTTCATAACTGTAATACTCTCTAATATAATGGGTTGCAAAACATTAGGTTGAATTGAAATATTCTTCCCAGAGCGGTAGTAAAATAATTTGCTTCTATCCATATCTTTTCTTAGTGGCAACAATATCTTCGAGTCTAACTTCTCGATGGTTTTCTTGAGCACTACCATCAAACTTTTAGCAACGGATCTTTCTTGAAGATCTCTAATTAACTTAACATCCATGTATGGTAGATACATGGACGTATCTATTGCTGGTATAAAATCCTGAGTCGAATAAAAGACTGTTAAATGAATTAAATCTTTTATAATGTTGTTAGGCATCACTATTTTAAAAGTTAGCATATCCCAATCCGATGGGAGTTCTTCGAAGATTGGCAATACGCTTCCATACTGCTTAGCACATCTCGTCAAACTTCTTTTCTTGAGAAACAATGAATTAACCTTTTCTTCATTCAAATCAATCGACGAACTTCTATTCCCTCTTCGACGACGTTTACTTTTAGTTTGCAGTTGCATAGACGGTGAATCTGAAAACGACGTATTCGATGGTACGAGTACGGCTATAGGCTCGGAAGAAGAAGAAGTCCGTGCGCCGAACGAACTGTCACTCTTACGCTTACGATCCTTTTTAGGGAAGTTCATCTCGTAGACTGATATTCGTAGTTACATGTACGGCCTATATATAGGCAAATATGCGTAGCGTCTCGTGTTACTATACGAAAAAAAAATAACAGCCACAATATAAACAAATGCTTTTGGAAGGGATAAATATTGTTTTATTAACGTACCCATCCAATCGGAGAGCATGGTACACTCTCATCCAATATCTTCTTTCTTTCATTCTACCAACACCCAGACGCACACAGACACACACATACACAAAAAAAGCACGTAAACTTCGTATAGACAACATATACACACCCCCACACTCTCTTTTTTGGGGGTGGGTCTTTTTTATATACCACTCCACACACTCTATTTTTTCTTTACAATAACAATAACGCAAAGAAAAGTCTATATGTATATTGTATAGAAATGTGAAGGAATACGAAAGAAAATGTAATAATTAAATGTCATACGTTTTTAAGAGCAATACCCTCCACAAGATATTTTTTGTGTGTGTTTTTTTTGATTATTGAAACACTTTATTTCAAAACGTACAATTGTTCTTGTCAAAGACTTAGCGCTAACTTGTGAAGTACGTCTATACCGGGCCTTTCGTTTATTTTTTTCCTCATGAGTGACGTTAACAAAGAAATAACATTTGAAGAATATAACAGTTTCTCTGTTTCAAAAGGGTCAATGGTTTCTAAAGTTTCGAATTTCCTAATGTCTTTCGTTGTCTTGAAAGGGCTTTTTCTGAACAATAGCTTCCAGAGTATAACGCCTAGAGTCCATACGACGGTACTCTCGGGGTAATATATACCATTTATATACCATTCTGGTGGCGCATAAAGTGGTGTTCCTGCGTATGTTCTCCTAAGACGTTTTGAACACTCTACTGCAAAATCGAAATCTAAAATGGTAATTGCCATTGTTTCTTTATTGATGAGTATATTTGCTTCTTTTAAATCACAGTGAATAATTCCACATTTGACCCAACAGTCGTAAGTTATTTGTACGAGACGTTTAAATATATTAATAATTTCTTTTTCGTTGAGAACATGCGTCTTCATATATGAATAAAGTGAGATACTTTTAATCGATCTCTCCATAACCAATACATAACCGTGTTCAATTTTGAACCAATCGTACAACTTAATAGTACCATCAACTTTATTTACTCTTTTCAACATGTGTATTTCCATTGGTATTTTCGATTGAAACGGTTGTTTCACAGTATGCCACCTCCAAACATCTTTGTGATAAATATATTTAACAGCTATAGGAGCGTTATCGTTCAAGCGTACTCCCGCGTATACGATACCAAAACCACCTTCTCCCAATTTACTCGTAATAGAGACGTCGTATCCACGGTGTAGCAGAGCATATTCAAAGGTGGTAGACATTTAGTGGTTTTTATTGCTGTCTAAACAAATCATATGCATGAGCTATATTTTTTGAAACGAATAAATCTTGTAAATGAGTTTTTTCAACTACGTTTTTATCTATTCTACGTTCTAAAGTGACATTTTGAAATTGAGCATTATTTAAAAGCGTGTTTACATCCCCACTATTACTCATAGAATATATTATTCTAATTTGATGATGAATTCCAATTACGTTGGGAAGTAAAGACATATCTTTTCCCACAAAATAAACATTACATGTACTTGATAATCAGTTTATTTTTTGCATAATATAGTTCTATACATAAATATTCGCATATTTTTGTTTAAACCGTAGTCGTTGTAATACCGTCGTCTTCTATGGCATCATAGAAGTCTTCGCTATCTAAACTATCGTAGATGTGATGAACAGTACCAGTAAGATTCGCACCCAACCAGTTTATAACATCGACGATGACTTGAACGTCGTCTGGATCAATTTTTTCACGTGATTCGAAAACCAAAGGAGCGTCAACGTGTTTTTCAACTGAATTAATAAATTGTATGTATTGCATAGTGAGGTCTTTCGATATATCAATGGTGGGGACAATGCCAGTGCGAAATACGTTCGCGATATTCTTTAGCATACTCGTCATTTCTTCGCTCAAATGATAAGGCATATTGTACTTTGGTACGAAAGTGGTAAATAACTTGGTATTCATTTTAAGTATATATTTTTATAACGTTTATTTCATTATATACATACATATGTTCGAATGAAAGAAATAAAATGTTAAAAAGTGTGTACAACACCATGGATATAACGTATGAATATTTAGGTCGCGGTGCACATTCTAAAGTATTCAGAGTTTGGCTTTCCAAGGAAAGGAGCATAATCCTTAAAATAAGTAAATGGAAAACTGGACTTCAGGCTGAATACGTTATTTTAAAGACTCTATCTCAACGATCTATAAGAGGAATTCCAATGTGTCTAAAGCAATGGTCGAATAAAACATTCGGTTTTTTAGCATTTTTCGATACGGGAAGCACGTCTTTACGAGATCTGTTATACTCTCATAAACTTTTAAATATTCGAGATATATTTCGTCAAGTCTTCAACGTACTTTATGAAACTGTAAAGAAATGTAAAGTGTACCATTGCGATATTAAATCTGGAAATATCGTAATAGATAAGGATATGAAGTGTACAGTTATAGATTGGAGTGACGTGCATCTTGTGAATAAACGCGTTCGGACTTTCAAAAGCACATTACCGTACTCGTCACCAGAAGCAATTGCATTTTATCGCGGAGAAAGGAAGTCGTACAATGCAGAACTGTTAATGTCATGGAGTTTAGGCGTCTTATTATATGAAATGTATTTTTTACATTTACCGTTTGAAAATTTTGACGAATCAGATTTCGTGGCTGCTGGTATCGGATGTCCCGAAGCGATCATGCGTTTAGAAAAATACACCATGTCGTTGTTATACGATGCTCCAGGAGACATTGCCAGTCTCATTTGGGATTGTTTAAATCCAAATTGCAAATATAGATGTAGATTGCGAACAATTAAAGAATACATTGAAATTTCTCGGTTTTAATAATCATGTTTTATTGTTTCCTTTAATTAAAGAGTTAACATAATAATGCAAACTTTTCGTATGAGTTAAACGCACTAGACCGCCGTCGGAATCTACAAAATAATCCACATCGTTCGCGTGTATTTGCATACCACTATCGAAAGTTACACATTTGGCCGTTATATCATCGGTTGAGTTAATATAATACGGTATTCCAAACCTCGTGAAAAATTGACTAGATACATAATCCGCCGCACCACCTACATTACACACCGGCGGATACACAAATTCGTCGTGGTCCACATCAACTACAGAAAATGTTTCTTTAATTGCAAGTCCGTCAAGAGTAAATTGAACGGAACGACGCCAATAACCACCTTCACCAGTACACACAATAGATCTTACCATATTTTCTATGGAATTACAGGACATTATGAATTGTTGTACCGGTCGCAAACCGTCCCAAAGATTATCGTATAACCAAGCACACGAAACGTCTCCACCGATGTTACTATCATCTCCCCCAAAAACACACACACCCACATCTCTGCACATTTTAGCAAAATTTCGAGAATAAAAATTAACCACAGACGGTCCAATACAACCTATGGCTTGTAATACGTGTACAGGTGTCGCTTTAGCTCCGGAATTCACCATCACGGATAAGGTATCTCTTTCGTCTAGAATGTCCATAACTGTGCTCGTAACTTTTTGCCAATAATCAACCATCGATTTCGTTTCCTCAAAATGTTCTGGAACTTTACCAAACTTCTTTTTAAACAATTCAGAACAACGAGAAATTTCCTTTGCGGATATGTCAAAACCGTATTGCGTCATAAAGTCGTCACAAAATCGAGTAATTCTACTTCTATTACTTAATAATCGTTCTTCGTCTCCTTTGCATGCTCTTATTGCAAAAAGATCAAATAGTGTGGTATTTTTTTTCGTCCAAGGCCAAGATCCAAATGCTTCCACGACCAAATCGCTGGTCCATTGAAATTCGGAAGGATTACCCCCAAACACCCACATATACGTTAAGAATAAAAAAAAATCTTTATACGTCTTTATGTTCTGTATTTTCCTCAATTCATGTTGATCCTTTGCATGTTTATTTTTAAGATAGTCTACAAACCACCATTCCAGTACGTCGTCTGGCCATGAAGTCAAAACAAAAAAAGCCATGACTGTGTTATAAGAACATTTGACTATATTTGTTCCGTTGAGTTCAGAAAACATCAAGACGGACAAGGAATTTAATATCGCATCAGGTTCACAAGGAGTATATTCCGTTTCGGTTACGTACAAAGTCATTTCGTCTCCGTCGTAGTCTTGATTAAAGGATCCGCTAAGTTCGTGATGTACACCCAAGACTAACATATTAGTCTCGTAAGGTATTGTCTGTACTAATTGCATTCCAGAAGAATAAAGAGTTGGTTGCCTACACAGAAATACACTTTTATTCTTTACATATTCTTGCACTTTAGGGGAGACCTTAACCTGCCACAAAGACACGTCTGTGTCGCATACGATTACTCCACGCACAGTGTACATGGGTCTAGTTCCACCAAACATTTGACGAAATAGACCCTTCTTGTGTGCTAAAACATCCAGCATAGACATATGTATTCTACCACCCGAAAATACGTTATTCGTAACAGAGCCGTTGCCTCGTGTACATACTACATCTCTTCGTATGTCGTCCGACGGAACGAGAGCATTGTTATTGGTAGAAACACTCATGTACATGGTGTTTGATATAGATGCGTTGATGTCGTTAGATATAGACGAGCTGGCAGTAGACAAAACGGGTCCACTTGCGGATTTTCCAATAGCCATATTATAAATCATGGTCACGATTCTCGTTTGCACTTCGGGTGGAAGCCATGGCTCGCCCGTTGTTGGATCTTTTCGTATAGTCGAAATGAGTTTGTTCACTATAGGATAATATTCGCATAATCGATAAACAGTTTTTGGCCTACAATGTTTACGAGACAGGTCGGACGCTGCCAAGGAAGACGAATGTTGTGATATTAAAGATTGTTGATCGGGATGATTGTGAGTGTAACTTATTTGTGAATGTATAAGTTGTTGTAAATTTTTATCTTTCATAAACTCCAATCGCGCGCACGGAGGTCTCACGATTAAATAGTGAGACGTATACCGCAAGAATTCGTTAGGGAATTTATTTTTGAAAAGAAGTACACTAGAATGTGATGCTACATCTTTAGTTTTAAGTAGAGATTGAACTTTATCAACGTATAATGGTAATATGTAACGAAATCCCAAATCTACAACGGCAGTGTGTCCTGGGCAACGCGTATGGTTCTGTTGGCATATCTCACAAATCGCCGTCGGGGAATCGTACATGTTGAGTCCAAAGAAAGACGAATCGTAAAGCCGCGAAAGAATTGCATTGTTTCCCAATCGCAATTCTCCAATGAGCTCTTTAACATCAAACATGACCTTCACCGTTCCGTTCGCTATGCTTTGATCGATTACATCGTCCGTAAGAACAAAGAGTGACACGTGTGTCGAATGCATTGTTTTCCTTTACCACGTGTTGACGTGTAATTTATTATATTACTAAGGTATTTTTTTCACTTTTCGTATAATTTCAAGTCTCACATTTATATGCTGCTTCATAGGCCGGTGGTCGTATCTCGAAGATAGAGTCTTGTGCGTTTCTTAAATCTATTTCACTTTCAATATTTGTTGTAGTTTCGTGAACGTCGTTTGTTTTGCGCCCTTTGTTGTAATACACGCTATCTACAATTATTTGCCAAATACAACAGAACATACATAAAATGCTAACGCAAAGCACAAGACCGCTTTCAAACCCAATAGTCTTACCCCACAAATTGCAGATCTTGGTTTTATCCATGTTACATATTAAATCATGAGGTCCAAATGGAACTATGTATAACAAATGAATACACGCTGCCGACACTTCACAATAGTTCTTTACACTTGAGGATGTAAAGCAAATTATCGCTGTGCAAATAGCTACCATAATGTTGTACATTATCATGATTATGTTACACAATATATTACCAACGTACATATATTTATTAGCGGTACGTGTCATTATTTTCGGTATTAAGTACGACGATATTGCCAAACATGTAATGTTGAGCGAAGACGTAAGGACTACAAAGGTTCGTAGATTATTGACATGTTCAAATTTATAATAAATCATGAGCACTAGTAGTGGACGTGCAAATGTAAAATTAATTAATAACCATAACATAATGAATAACATGTAAGGCCCATAAATACCAGACATATTAGTATAACTCATTGTAGTGCACTTTTGTAATGATTTTGGTTTGTTTAAATTAAATATTAAAAAAGCACAATGTATACATCTATTTTCAATTCACATCAGCAATGGAGAGAAAACGCGTCACATTTAGCAAAATTGTTACAGTCCACGTGGTGG